ACGATTTTCGAGTCGAACCGGGCTAGTCTGGTTCGACTCGGCGTTTTTTAAAACACTGGTATTAGTTAATAATAAATTTTAAAAATTTTAAAAATAAAAAGGAAAAAATGAAGCCAATTTTGACATAGGCCGGTTCTGGCGAGACTGAGAATCAGCCAAAATCAATATTTTACAGAACCAAGCTTACCTTTCTAGTTCTCCTGAATGGGAGGGTTCCAATCTGAATAACCATTTTTTAAAAAAACCTTGCTTGTAGAGAATGCACTTCAGTAGGCATATTTTGGCTTAAACTTCCCCACGGCTTCTAGACTCTATTGGGCTTCAATTCATTTTTCATCTCCAGTAGAATTCCAGCACAATCTTGTCTGCATATCTGGTAAGTAAAGGCAACTCTAATGGAGGCAATCTTAGCCTCCGGCAGCAACAATGTTTCTCCGTGAAAAACAACCATTAGGTGCGACTTAGATGTCCGGAAAGGTTGAGCCATAGGCCCATTGGTTCTCGAGCATTCTTTCATGCCAATCTTTCTAGCCTTTTGAGACTGATTTATTTGGGGCCTTAGTATCATGTTGAAATGCCTCAACTAGGACTTTGATCAACAATATCCATCCCCCTCTTGGCAAATGGCCGTGATGACAGCGTGGGAGATTATGCTTACGTGCTAGTGGAATGACATCTCTGTGTATTTGATCGTATGTCGCATCATATACTAAAGTTCAAGGAGTCATTCATCTTAGATGGCTAATAAATAGTAAGGTATTCAAGCCTCGTGTACAATTTGGGTCCCGATTGGGGTTTGTTACAAACTCCGATACAGACTTCATCCAAAAGGTCTTCCATTGAGACAAGCAACAAAAAAAGATATCATAAGAGGATCTCCCGTATAGTGTCATGAGGTATATTCTCATTTATACTCTTTTTAAGGCATTCTCTCCTTCCTATTTGGCAGCAACCGATGATATTGGATGAAATCTTTAAGGGTTGTCATTGATCATTGACTTTCGCTTCAGCCCAAGGGACGAAATGGAGGTATACACACCCGAAAGTCACTTCTTCAGGGCAGTGACTTTTACTGGGCTACAATTCTAACACCAGAGGTAGATTATGCCTCTCTTAGATCTATATTTGCATTGGTTGACTTGATGGGAGTGTTCATAGATGTTCCCCAGCCCTGCCAACAACCAACCTGCCCATTGAGTTGTTTAGATAAAAGACTGATTTAACCGTGCGAAACATGGACATGAGAATCCTGATTGTGTTGACATAGGGACCTAAATCAGCCTTCTAACTTCACAAGTTAAGCAAACCAATGAAGAATCGCCAAATACAACTGCGATATCAGTGTACATCTCAGTAGCCATCTTAAAGCCAGTAATGAAGGGTTTGCATTCCACCTTGTTATTTGAGAAAATCTTACTGAAGGAGGACAACAGAATAAATCCTCTTTTAAGAAGCAACAAAGACAACTCCAGTTCTGGCCCCCACATCTATGATGCTCTAATGTATTCGATAGATTAAGGTTTTCTGACCAAAATGCTTTCATTTCGGAGGTCTCATTATGAGGAAAACCCCCTAAAAGTGGGTGTACTGCAAGAAAATTGGCAGATGCTTGTTTATTCACAACACTTTCGGGTTATATATAATGTCGAAATCCATAAGGAGGATTGACCACATTGCGCATTAGATGGTGACTTGACATATCATAGGATATATAGGGGGATCAACTCGGAGATTAGTTGCATTTGATGTGTAAGGAGGTAGTGGTGTAGCTCTTGAACTGTAAAAGTGACCGACCCACGCATCTTTTTTAGCATGTGTTAAATTATGGCATATACCCACTGTAACACGACTCAAATGGTATAACACCATTTCTTCTAATCTACCTTAGATGGGAGTGGATAAAAATGGTGGATGAAGGAAATAGGTAATAATGCTATTAAAAACCTTTTATAGGACCTCATACCACTAGTGGTTGCTTCTTCCCTCCTAAAAACTTAGAGAATGGTTGGTAACTATTCAATGGGTTTTATGTGGAAAAGTATATAAATAGACCATTTACTTTTAGTACAATGTGACCACTCTTGTTTGACATCTAATGACTAAAGGTAATTGTGACATCTTTGTGACAAAGATAAATGGTCGCATAGTATACAATCCATTTATATAAAGCTATGTAGGTATGTGAGCCTACATTGGAGGGATTTGAACACATGGATATTTTTCTGGGGTTGCATCTCTTAAATGGTTATTCCTAATCAAAATTGGTTGCAATGCGACATTGCCAATCGATGGACCCCACAAACTTTCTTGATCTGATGCCAAAAAGCACACTCGAACTAGATTTGAGTTTACTTGCCCCTGTTTTTTAGGAAAAGCAAAATAAAAGTAATTGTGCTTATGGAAAACTTGAAGCACATGTGGTAAATTTCTCATGATGTATGTGCGTCATTGTTATTTATAACATGGGCTCTTGATTTTTGTTTATCTAGTGACAACTTCTAAAATTTTGTTAATTGTAATATAGTCAAGGAGCCTTATATGTAGGGATAAAGATAAGGCAATATATACAGTGAGACCATTTATTTTTTTACAAGGAGGTCATAATCATTAATGTCCATTGGATATGAAATCGGGTGGATTATAATGTGTTGTTGAGTCTCATAGCATATAATCCCTAAAAATAAAGTCCCAACCATATAGTCACCTCTTCAAAGAAAATAGAATATGAGTTGCATATAATCTTCCCCAATTTTTTGAGTTCTTAATAACAACATAGTATTTATCCATAAACTCCGTTACAACATAGTATTTATCCATGAAGTCCGTTTATATTCATTGAGGGACTCCTAATTCAAATATAACACAAAAAGGCCCTTTATTTTCCTCTTAGTTCTACTAGGCTTAGAGACACAGAAGTGAACCCTAACCTAGTCCTTTTCAAGGGGTTTATACCCATGTCCCATGACCCCAAATTTTGATCTCTCCATTCCTCAACCAAATGTGCATGGGGTGCAAAAGTTCCAAAACCAACTTTGTAAAAACAAACTGCAATTCAATCCCCATGGCCTTTGCCCATGCCGCCTCCTTTCCCATACACTGAACGGAAAAGGCAGAGACCAAAACAAACCCACGAAACCAAGCCGTAACCAGGTCCACGAAACCAACTCGGGCTCACCCATCATCGCCACCGTTCTCCTCTTCACGCTCGTAATCGTCATTCTCCCTGCCTGTGCAACATTGCTTCCCCCAAACCCTAATTTTCATCGGACTTGTTTTGTTGCAGTTGTGGTTTGTTGATCCGTGCCCTAGTTTTTAGCAGAAGAGATTCTGGTGTTTATTCGTATTTTGGGTTGAGAAGAGAGAGAGAGATATGGGGGAAGAAAGAGGGGGCCCTTCTGTTGTCGCTAGGGCTTCTGTCTCTCCAAGTGGAGCGGTGGCTTCCTCTTCTTTGTATGACCCAAAGGGAGCGATTTCTCAGAGACAGAGCTTCTCTGTGGATCTGAGACCAGGTGAGACCACCATTGTTTCTTGGAAGAGGTTGGTGAAGGACTCCAACAAAGCCATTCGGAATTCTGCTTCTGTGGAGCCCCCTGTTGGTGCCCATCCCGCTCTTGAGTCTCGAATTGCACCCGAGGTACTCAAAATTGCCTGTTTTTTTTCCTCTTAAGTTTTTTTTTGGTTATTAGTTTTCCATAACCAAACTAGGTGTTTTTCTTATAATTGAGAACTTTTTGGGGCTTCTTGAGTTTATAAAGATGATCACTTTTGTCATCTCTTTTTGGAATGTCTGAAACCTGCTGTTTCTGTTTATTTTTTGGTTTTCTTTTCTCCATTTTTTGAATTGTAAGCATAGTTCCTTGCAATGTATTTTATTAGATTCTGACAAAGTATTGGATTTTTATTGGGTTTTGTTGAGCTTCAATCACTGATTCCATTGTGGTGTTCCATACCCAATGTCTGAAACTTTTTAATTTCCTAAACAATGTCCAAAACTTTTTTATGTTATGCTCCGCTTTTTCTTATTTTTCGCTTTTTTGAATTGTGGGTATTGTTAATTACAACATGTTTGTTGTTTGTTACAATGTATCTTGTTTGTTGAAATGTAATATTTTCTTTGCTTATTATGATTATTGGTATATTTTCTACTAGAGTTCACACATTTTTAATTATAATTTGGTATTTATGTTTGATCTTTCATTTTTATTTCTATTTTTTCCATTTTCTTAAATTGTGCATATTATTTTGTGGAACGTATGTTTTTATTTCAGCTTGCTCATATTTTGGAGTGAGTTGTTGTCTGAAAGGGTGTCTTGTGTTTTGGGATTGCCCATACATTGTCATGTTTCTCTTGTCATGCACAACTTCTTCAAACCTCTGTGAGAAACTCTATGCTTTTCTTTCGTTGCCCATAAAAAAAATTCCCTTTGGGAACTATCAAGAGATAGTTTTGTTATTTATAAATAAAAAATTGCCTGCTTTCCCATCCGCTGTACTGCTGCTGATCCTCTTCTTGTCCTACTGGCTGCGGAGGGAAATGGAGGAGCATAACAGTAGTATGCTCCGTGTAGCCCATAAGCATGTGTTATCTTTGAGTTTTGGGAAACTGTGTTTTTTTTCAATTGTTTTAGGCTTGGATCTCATGTTTTTCATGTGTTCAGCTACGTCATTATCTGCACTTCTTGTTATTAACCTTTTCATCCTGCTGTGTATATTGAATGACACTTGAATAATATTGAATCTACGTAAATATACAGCAAGATTATTTTGTTTTACTCCTTATCATTTTTAATGATCTGTCAATATTAAAAAAATATGCTGAGTTTGAAATCACACATTTCTTAAGGGATTCACATAATCTCAAATACATTAGAAATTTAACAAATTGCTTCCATTATTCCCTCCTCTTCGACATGGATTTCAGGTATAGGAGTCTATGAAACATGTAGGGAATAAGTTTTCTAAGGTGTATATATACTTAGACTGAGTTGGTTTGTATCATGCTTGTATGTGATATATGTATTCTTAAATATGAGAGTGATGCCAAATTACTAAGCTACTGTTGGATGGGGCCTTAGTTTACAAATCAAGAAGGCCAGGCGGTTGGGCAGCTGATTGTTTTGTGAGTCATTTAGATGAGAATCTATGACTCATCAATCCAATTCCAATGAATCTTTTAATTTCTTTAGAATCTTTTAATTTCTTTTCACAAGTGTTGCAGAGGTTTATGTTACAGATACCACATGTTGAGGGTCGTACATTTTGATTGGGGATGTTTAACCATTACTTAATGTCATTCAAATGGGTTTGGGTTGAGATTCTCTAGTTGAGTTAACGTTGGACAATTTACAACTCCACCCATTTAGTTTAGTCCATTGACTTATACATGTTTCTTTCAAAAACATAAGATACCAACAGACCAATGTAGTTTTTTGATCTAAAATTGGATAAAATAATACATGTAAAGCCATGTTGCGCTATATCTCTTTTAAGTAGTCATCATTCATGACGATTCATTATGTAAATTTGTTTTCTAGGAATGAAATAAAGATTAGTTACTGTGAAGTTAATGTTCATGAGACTCTTATGCTACAGGGTCATGCTCGTCATGAACTGGAGGATGTTGTGCCGCCTTCTAATCGATTTAGTGCTGTTATACAGAAGATTGAACGTCTTTATAAGGTATGGAGTTTGCTGGATTCTAATCTTGTGTTACATCTAAATATGCAGTGTTGTTGGATTTTAATCTCGTGCTAGAGCTTTTTGTAATGATTTCTAGGTTCAAATTTAGGAACTTCTAGTTTGGTTTGGCAATACTTGCAGACACACACACACACACACTCTTTTGTTGGCCAAAGGGCTAATGTAAAAGTATTAACCCAATGGTCAGATTTAATCATGAGAGATCCAATGATCAGAATTTAGGGAAATTGTTTGATTTTTAATACTTTTCCGTAAATCTATTTGGCCTGAAAATTTGGGGATACATGTGCCTGGTTGTGGCATACCAAAAAGAATATAAACAAGTATTGTGCAAAATTTAAAATGGCCAAAATACCCCTTCTCTTGTTGGTGAATGTGGCAGGATATTTTGTTAATTTTAGGCTTTGGGTATTATGTTTTGTTATAATTTTTTGGTGTGTTTCAGTTAGGCACACATGTTCCCAAAATTTCAAGGTCAAACAAAATTATGCAAAAAATAGTTTAAAATCAAATATTGTCCATACACGCTGGTCGGCAGATTTGTCAATATCGAATTTGGGTCGTTGGTCTAGTACTGTTCTATTGGCATGCATACACATATATTTCATTTGTTACTAACTGCACATTTATAAATGGGTTTCAGGGGAGGGAAAGTAGTGATGAAGAAGATCTTGATGATATTCCAGATGATGACCAATATGACACAGATGACTCCTTTATAGATGACGCTGAGTTGGTCAGTAATTTTCTATTCTTTTTTTGTCAGATACTTGGGAAAAATACTCATAATTATCACAATACATAAACAAAAGAATGGAATTTTTTAATCATAATCAGGAAGGAACGATTGCATATCTTAGTTATGGGGTCATAGATTTTGTTTTGATAATTGAGTCTTCTATATGAATAACCCTTTATACAGAGTAGGGGTAGTTGACCTCAGCAAGCTTGTAGTTACCTAGTGGAGTCTCTTTCATATCATATAAATCAGAAGCAAAATGGCAGCAGCATTGATGCTTGCTACATATCCTATCCAGAATGTTGAGATCATTAACATTGATAACTAGTAAGAAGTGGACGATAAATGTTATAATCTATGATCATTTTTTAATAAAGCTAACCAATTCTTACACTACCCGAAACCCTGCATAACATGGTAAGTTGCTCCTCCTCTTCCTTGAAATACCTCAATGAATTCACAAACTAGGAATAGCTTTGGAACTGCTATTGAAGTTCAACATCAGAAATCCATGGGAAGTGGATGGTGAACATAGTATTGTTTTGAACTTGGCTTAAAATACTGAACAATGCCCTTAACTTCCAAGCGCATCCAAATCTTAAACAGCTTTCAGGATTCCCCACCCCACTCGGGACTTCAGCAAGATGACAACTCTAATCATGTAATCCTTGTGTCTTTGCTCTTATTTTTGATCCTTGCACGATGGCCAATAGATGGAACATTGCTCTAAGTCTTGACTGGTATGTTAGGAGTTATCAGAAATCATGAGCTGAGGATACAAGTTGACTTTAAGTTGAGTATTCTTTTAGATATTCTAAACATAAGAGTTGGTATTGCTCTAGCTTCCATCATTAGGGAGTTAGAGTAATTTTGCGCACACCATACGAACCAAGCTCTGTGGGTAAGTAAACATGACATAAACATTATCAATGCTTTGCAAAACATGGTCAAAAAGCCCTTTAACTAATAACAATAGAGGGAGCGTTACGACAACAATGCATGGAACTACTATGTTTTCTCCTTGTTATGTATGATTTTTACTGGTTATTTTTGGAGTTTCTTGATACCAAGTCCAAAAATTTGTGGTCTAGTTTTTTATCTGTAGGGGGAATGCTTAATAGTCTTTAACACTGTATGGCCATGTTCTTAGAGATATAGGACTTGTGGTTTAATTATACTAGCAGGTTTATGTGCTAGGAGTCAGGCATTTTCCTTAAGGAGTAAAACATTAAAAGGTAGATGTTTTCGTGTACTCAGTAGAACGTTGTTCTGTAGATGAATAATAAGCATGCCTGTTTGGGGGGTGTTTTTGTCTCTAATAAAATGTCACCGGACTCATGAGTGACAATGTCTAGTCAAATAAATTCCCGGCACGATAACTGCCAGAATATTGAAAGAACTACTAGAAATGGATACAATGGGTATAAAAAAACAAGTAGTCTCATAATATAAATCAAAAGGTGAAAAATCCCCTTAATGTGATGAAAGGAAGCTTCCTGCCAAAAATGAGAAAGATCCGAGCCCAATCATTCCCAAATCAACAATCAGGCGGTCTAGGAGGCATGATCAAAATCTGGTCAAACTAGCCCGGTAATCTGATGGTTCAATCTTTAATCCAAGGTACCCCAAGTATAAGCTCCACAAATCAGGCCAATCCGAGGCCTGACGATAAAGATATGGTCTGGCGAAGCTGATTGGCCTGACGATAAAGATATGGTCTGGCGAAGCTCAACCGTCTTTGACAGCATTGATCTAAGGCCAATTTACAAAGCTTCCTCAATATATATATCCCATGTTTGAACAAAGCTTCCTCAATATATATATCCCATGTTTGAAAAATCGCCGCGGATCGGATATTGTCCAAAGCGATCCGGATCCAATTATATATCGGGATCTGGGAGAACTGGGTTTTTTACATTATTTTAATGTAAAATTTATTACATGTACCACCAAGCAGCCACCATTTACATTATTTTAATATATATTTCTTCCACGTACATGTAGCCACCATAAGTACCTACCAACCACTATAATGAGCACATGGCTTTTCCTAAGGGGCTAAGAGATAGAGTTTTCTATGGCTATTTCAGCCTTTAATCGTTGGATGTGGGACTATTCGTGCTTGCTTTTCAAGTACGTAAAGGGCTAAGAGATAGGGGATAAAGGCATAGTTGGACTAAGGCAGTAACAAGGAAAAGCGCTACAAAATAGCTTTCTTTCTCTAGCTAGTTCTTCTACTTCATACCATTGTTTTTTAATTTTTTTGTCACAACAATAAACATGATTGGATTGGGGCAAACAAGCCACTTTTTTATTTTTATTTTTTTTATATTTATTTTTTTCTATGTTTTAGGGTAATTTTTTTTTTTGTTTTAATATCATAACATTAAAATTTATAGGGGGTTTTATTTTTTTAATCCTACGAAATGGAATTACTTGACCAAAAAAAAAAAGAAATGGAATCGTTTTCTAATAACTTTGAAATCATGTTTATTATAATATTATAATTAATAATTATGTAGACATCCAAATAGGAAACAATGTCTCAATAGTCATCTATTTTTACAAAGTAATGAGAATACATAATGCATCACTTCTAACTAAAAGAACACTATTTTTAAATATTCATAATTATTTTTTAAAAATATTTTGAGACAAAATTTGCTGATTTGGCCGATTCTCCTAAGTTATTGTTAAATTGTTAGATTTTAAATTAGATGATATTATAAGACAAATTTCAAATTTATTTTTATTTGTATGCTAAAATAATGATAAAATAATAAAATACATACCAATAATTCTAAATTCAATGTATAATATTGTCTTTAGTTAAATTTTAATAAATATTTGATGAGAATCTTCATACAGGGAACGAACATCTCAATATTCGCATATTGATGACAAAAATGAAGTTAATAATGTAGTACGCCCATTTCTTATTGGATTCTTAAAAAACAACATTTATAATGAATTTTAACAAATTTTTTGGATTTTTTTTAATGCTCAATCCCACCGATTCGGCCGACTCCCGATCCAGATCGCCTATTCTCCGATCCGGATGGGTTTTGAGGTGCCCGATCCGGGGCACCTGTCTGTTTTTTAACCCACTATATATATCTATAAATAAATAAATGGGCCGATAAACTTTATGGGTGGAAGTATCAGTATAAGAAGGCTATGGTCCAAATTTGAGCCGAATTCGACATCGGATAGAAGAGAAATGGCTTTTTGAACGTCTTGAACCGTAGCTAGAGTCCACTAAAATTGGTTCAACTTTACAAAAGGAACCCAAGAAATAAGTGGCCTCCAAATTTTTATGAGACGAAGGTGATGATGAGGAAAGCCTTTGACAAAAATTTTAGCCAAATTTGATGTCCAGAATTGCCTTTTTGGGCACCATCTTTACCGCACTACAAGGGGATCACACAGAAAAGAAGAACAGACCATACTGTGCAATGTAGTTCACTTCTTCATTGGAATTACAACAAGCAACAAATGTTTTTCAAAAAGTCGAGGGCCATATCTCTCAATTCCTACAGCCAAACAAGCCCAAATTTCAGTATGTTGCTCCTTGCAACATGGGCTTTTCGTCCATGTATGGATCGATGGGTTTCTCCACTCGAATCAAGGTTGAATCGAGCCAAAACGTTGGAGGTTTGCAACAAGTGATCTGTCTCAGTCCCCATGACCTTTAGGGGCCGTTTGGATACTTGTATTTCTATAACGGGGAAATAGATTATGAGGAAATATGCTATTTCCAGTGTTTGGGTACCTACGCAGTGGGCAGGAAATGAAACACATTACCTAACATTTCCTCCAAAATCATGAAATCGATTACCCACCCCAATAGCTAAAAAATGTATTACGAAAAAGATGGGTAATATCAAACCCCCAACGGCCGCTAGAAAATATTAAGTACACTTCATAAATTTGAGGTTTGCATCGTGCCATCTTCGACCTCTCTCTCGCGAAAAACTCTGCTCGTTGAATAATATGGCTTCACACTACATCCCTCAACTTGGCACCTTGGTGGTTGCCTATTTTGGCTTGAAACCCTAGATTTTTAACTCGAACTACTTGGATTTCCATTTTCCGGTGGTTTCTTAGCCGGATTTCCAGAACCCACATCTTCAAAGTACATCCTCTTTTTGAGCGTTAGCCCATTCACGGTCTCACTGTCCATTTCTTTGTCTCTCTAAAACTGTTGTGCTCTCTCTCTAGATTGGAGACTGGTTATGTTGAGGCATCCGCCTTTCTAATCGTAATTGTTCAAAATTTACAACCTTTATTGATATCATCCCTCGTTTTTAGGGGGAAAATAAATAAAGCAAGGAAAACATGCTAAAAATCATACATTTTTTCAAGGAAAAATGGGCAATTTGTGGGGGCTAAGGGGTCAGCACCGCTGGTGGAGGTGGTCTTACAGTCACTGGTGAGGCCGCACTGAAGGAGAGAGAAGAGGTGCAGGTGGTGGGAGCATCGAAACTGGGGGAGGAGAGAGAATAGGCACTGGGGGTGGTAGGTTAGGCAGTGGCGGAGGAGTGAGAATAGGCATTGGCGGTGGAAATATTAGAAGTGGAGGAGGAGAGGGAAAAGGTATAGGCGGTGGAAGTATTGGGAATGGGACTATGTGATTCTTTTGAGTAAAGTGTAGTAATAGTAGGGTGGGAATTTTATTGGGTTATTATGGGTTTGCATTTTAATGTTTTTTTATGTAAATTCAAAGGTTTGCATTTAATGTTTTTTTATGTAAATTCTAACTTGCCAGGTAACTGTTGCTGGATAAAATTAAACTGGATGCTACCTTCACATATTAGAAAACAAAGTAGTTTTAATTGATATTTTATACTAAAAAAAAAAAAATATTAAAAACACATTACTATAGATAAAATTAACACATTATTTCCTAGTCAAAATGTCGGTAATGCATTTTCTAGATTTTTTCAGGAATAGCCAAATAATAGCAATGGATTTCCCAGGTTGAATCTAGATATTACCCAAACATTAACAATCTATCTGCAGGTAATGTATTACGTCAGTAGTGTATTACACCAGCAATATATTTTCTAGACAATATATTTCTAGGTACCCAAACGACCCCTTACTCACTCTCGGAGTAATATCTTGTAATCCATATAGCGATTTAAGCCAAAATTTTGCAGGGAGCTTCTTAACTTAGAGACGAATGCATCCATATATAGTAATTCACGATCAAATCCAATTTAGGGGGTGAGTCTTAGTGAAAAGTTGCCTAAATTTATGAGATTGCAGTTGCCAAAAATAATAAAAAAGGAAAAAAAGCCATATCTCTGGCATCATCTTGAGGTGAACTTCTCACCAAATATCAGTCTCTGCATCTACCACAAGAATTTACTGGCTGATTGTCAAATAGCGGCCTAATTTGAGCGCAATGACAAGGTGTAGAAATGGGTATGCAATATTTACTGAAAATGGAATACCAAAACTTAAAATGAGTGAAACTTCGCGAATTGAGGACTGTTTTCGCTCAAATTTGTTGCAAAATGGTGGACAAAGGGTCCGATTTAGTGGGCTTTGATGGTGAATGAAGAAGGAAGCCTCCTCAAGGCCAAATCATTAAAGAATTCCAAGGTTTAGGCGTCCATTTTATTTTTTAATAATCTACCCTTGATCAAGCCATACTTTTGATTTTCCACGCACCAACTTTTAATATTCCACCCATGTTTTCCCATGTCTATAAAAGCCCTCATAACCTCATTTTTAAGAGTGGGAAAATTAAGCTTTAACTTAGAGAGAGAAACCCTTGCCCTAGAGAGAGAAAATTTGAACTTCCCAAATTATCCCAACCTCCATCCAATGATCCCAAACTGCCCCTCAACTTTATCAAAATCTCAAAATACCCTTACAAATTAGAAAATTCCCAAGAATTACCACAAATCTTAGAACACCAAAATATCCTTGGAAATTCCAAGTTTGGAGTGGCGAGGGTTGGGTCCTTGCCGTTGCTTCGGTTGGGCTTCAGGCCCTTCAGACCTTGGTCATGGATCCACCCCTGGGGGGGTTTCCTACACTGAGTCGGACCCTTTTATGCGCGGTCTTCAAAGTGACTTCGTATAGGGGTGATGCTACTGAAATTTCGTCAGCCGTTCTTTGAAATCGAGTTGCTTTGGGGGCTTGATCTGAAAAAGAGAACATTCAGGGGATTTTGACCTAGTCTTGAGAGCGTGCAGCCCCAGGTTTATCCATGGAGAGAGGAGTGGCTTCAGGTCCAAATTACTCCCCCCCGTAAAAATCCAAAATATACCCATAATACCCTTCGAAATAAGAAAATTCCCAATGATTCCCAAAAATTTCCATAAACTCTAGGGCATCAACCCAATTACCCCTAGAAATCCCCCCCCCCCAAAAAAAAACCTAAAGCACTCAAAGGAGGATCGACTCCGCCACTTTTCAGATCTCTCAGGTTCTAGCGTCGAGTCGCACTTCCCTTCTCGCTTAAAATGAGCAAGGTGGGGCTAAATTCCCTGCAAGGAAAAGTGTTGAATACTCGACCGGATTTCCCAATAGATTGTTAACGGTGAGTGGGCCTTCCCTGCATTCATATCAGTCGGGGGGTCTAAGTGGGTTGGCTACACCGACCTGGGAATTCAAGAACCCTCTTGTAAGAGCATTCTCCGCCCCATCTGTATTCGAACAGATTTTCGCCTCTTTCATGTGAAAGCATCTGGTTGTCGCCTTTCCTTTGGAGTCGATAAAGAACCCAAGCACACACCACATGCGCAATATTCAGGCGCGCGCCGAGAGATGCGAACAATGCCATGTCAAAATATTGAACTGTGGAATGGAAGTGTAATATGCTTGTGTTTGTGCTCGATGGAACTCCGTCAAACCAACTTACAAGGAAAAATGTAAACACAGAGCATTATTAAAAAGACAACATTCCTTTGAGCAGTGGCATTTTATGCCTTTAGTATCAAAGGTTTCTGCCCAGCCTGTGTACTTCATCACGACATGCCAATGGTGCCTCTATGCATTGTGATTTGGATTTTAATAAGCGTTTTTATTGTTATAATCGTTTTAATGTTTGAATCAGTGCTTGTTGATCAACCTTCATCAATGACCCACAATATCTATATCATCAATAGGGTTGCTTCTTCATTGATCCCAATATGGGCTTGCATACAACCTTACTGTTGTCGAGTCTGTCATGCACAAAACAATGGGATTGCATAGAGGAGAGTAGGACATGCTGTCATGGAAGTATGAGACTGAAATGTAGGAAGCTATTCTTTTACTTGAATGATCATTGCAAATCGGCATCTCACAATATTTCTACACAAACATGTTGTAGTAGTTCCTCTGGGGTTTTGCTCATGCTAATTACATACTTCTGATGACAGTAAAAGAGGTTTGATTAACATATATTGGGTCTGGGTCCATTGAATTGGCCCATGGGAGGATTCAAGAGTTTGGGAATCTGGTGTTTTGATTTAGCCTATTGATATGTGCATGAAATAGCGTTTTTTTTTTTTTAAATGATTGTAAACGCTCATTCATGTTGAACTTCCAATGTCGGCCCTCTTCTCTAGGATGAACATAGAGCTGCTTATGTGCAACATGGAGCTTTAAAATGTTTGGAAAAATAGATTGGTATAAAAATAGAGTGGTATGTCTAAAGCTGATCTTTTTAATTAAATCTGTTGTTTTCTTGTGCATTTGATTGACAATGGGTCTTATGCATCCAGCTGTCATACTATTCTTTCTCTTATTTGCTTTCATATCCATTGAAGAAGTTGTCTCGTGTAATTGATGTCAGGTCCTCCTCATGCAGATATTTTCTTTGTGCTGGGTTTATGGCTAGATTTGTTGTTAAATTTCTGATCATGTTCTATGTCCTCCATAAGGATAAGTTTAAGTCTTCAGTTTTCTCAGATCTCTCGGGTATTTTGCAGGATGAATACTTCCAAGTTGACAAATCTGAGACTAAGCATAATGGCTTCTTTGTAAATAGGGGAAAATTGGAAAAGACGTAAGCTTCTTTATGACTGATTTATCTTGTGCTAGCTCTGGTATACTATGTCATATTTCTATGGTCACATAGAATCCAAATGATATGACCGTTTGGTCATTTTCATATGTGCGATGTCCAATTTTAAAATCATTAAGGGGATCCTTTAATTGGTATGATCTAGAGTTAGACACCTTTTAATTTTTCCTATTAGTGGAACGACCATTTATCACTGTTCTTGGATTTATACGACTCAGGGCATATTGTGACTCATGTTCATAAATAGTACATGATTAAATGGACATTCTTTCAGTATTGGATTTTAATCTACTATTTCATTTTCTGTGTTATGAATTGCCTTGCATGACGTTGTAGTTAACCTCGCCACATCTAACTTATGCACTGCCCTTTCTTTTCATTATGCGAAAGATGTAATAGAAGACTGATCAGTCTATCCCCTTGATTCTAAAACTGAGCATGATTTGAACGTTCATCTTCTTTGACAAAGAACAGTATTCTACTCTGCCTGTAAGTTATTTTAGGTTTTTTAAAAGATATATCTCAGTTAGTATTACATGTCAAAATCTATTCTTTCTACTTCTTCCCTGTTACTTTTATGTGTACTAATCTATGAGCTGTAATATGAACTGCTTAGCTGCTAAAGCTCCTTTCCTGCTGTAACCAAGCACGATTTTGGATTACATGTTCAATGTGATGTACCAGCATATGCAGTTGATGCGCTGCATATGTGGATGCGATGTTAGTGATGTTGAGCTCTTTGGAGTCCTTGGTCGATGCATTTAATGTTGTCAGATGTGACAGGGCTCCTCTGAAATTGCTGTGGATTATTATCAATTTTTGCCGTAATGCATGGCCTCTGCTTGTTCCTTGGAGTCCTTGATCTATGCATTTAATGTTGTCAGATGTGATAGGGCTCCTCTGAAATTGCTATGGATTAGTATCAGTGTTTTTCGAGATTATGGATATATACCGATCAATTGGAAATATGAATTTCACTATGTCCATATCTATATGTGGAAGGCATTGAAGCAGATCATAGCTCTGCTCTTTGTTTGTCTTTCCTTTCTTCCTTGTATTTATGACGTCGTTCAGTCAAGTGCCTTGATTAGTATGAGTTTTTGTCCTATGTTGCTGTTGGCAAGCCTTAAGCCATCCATGGCTAGTTAGCATAGAAAGAAGGGCGGGCAATCATGTGGATCCCAGGTCACAAAGACACTGATGCACATGTCAACATTTGACACTGACATAGGCGTCAGAAATGCCAACCGGAAAATTGACTGTTTAGGCATGGCAAATCTGTGCATCATTTAAAGGAGAGGAGAGGTGGGATTTTTAAGTGAGATTGAGTGCTTTCGTAGTTGGGCTCAAAAAAGAAAAGTTAAGCAGCAGTGTCTAAGTTTCTAAAGTGTTAGGTACTATCCATGGTGTGTCTACATGTGCCAAAAACTAAAGACACATGCAGTGTATATAGTGTGGGGGTGGGGGCTGGGTCCCTCCCAAGACTAGGAGGAAGAGTGACAGATTCTCTGGAAGATGCATGACAAAGGGGCTTTGTCCCAAGGCACCCTAGAATACAGAGTGATGGACCCATGTCTGTCCCATTATGTTTAGGTTTATATTTTGTTTATTCATTGGGGTTCTCGAGTTGGCTTAGGTTTCATGTAAGCATGGGTTTACTTTTACAGTTTGGTTCTAGTAGATAATGCCGCTCTTAATTTGATTGGTATTAGTTTGTTGGCTTTGTTTTCTTGTTTAGAAGTGATGGCCAAGACATTAGATGATTTGATGCCCAAATCTATTAGAAATAGAGTCTGTTTACACAATGCAGTCAAGGGCGTGACCTTATGCCCAATACAAGTTATTTTGGAATACATGTTATTTTGGAGACTTAGGATTTCTTCTTTCTTTGGTGGTGGAATGCCATCTTGAGAGGGAGGTTCCTCCATTTTCTGTGGTGAGATCCATAAAGGAGAGATTCCATCCACAAGTTAGGGCTCCTCCTCCATTTTTTTTGCTTGCCCATCATCCATCTCTTGTCCTCTTTATCTCCCTCCCTTTTCCTCCCTGCCATCCTTTTCCCACAAACCCTCTCCCAACTACCCATCTCTTTAAACTAAGATCAGCCACACTCCACCTATTCCTTTCTCTTATCCAGAAACCTAACCACCAAGCACCAACATACCCCTCCCTAAACCTCATGGGATCTTCCAATCCAAGATCAACCACGCCCATCACATCCCAACTGTCTCTATTCCTTGCAAACGATGCCTCACCTCATCTCCTTCATCTCCTCAACTCCTTCAACCAGCCAAAACCACATTCCTTCATCTAAGCAAAACCGTAGTCTTCCATCCATAACCTTAACTCACCTTTCCGATGACCCTAACTCTGTCACACTCTAGCCTACCCACATCCTCACACCCTAGCCTACCCACATCCTCATCAGACCAGCCAACTCCACCACCCTTGTAAGCCTGAATTGTTCACAATCTCCGATACCCCTACAAGCCTTCATCCCAGCTAGCTTTTTTCATCCTATCTCTGCTCTCCTCACTGTACCTCGATCTTTTCAAAGCTCTAGCCTGCTAAAACGAGCCACATAGTCTATCCTAAGACCTCTTGTTGAACCAATCTCCTCATGGTCGGTTGGTCATTTATATGTTATAATATTGTGGTTCTTTCCTTTGAACAATTGAAAATTTTCTGGTCTCTTCTCACCTTTGTGAGATTTATCCACTTCATATGGTCCCACCTTTGTGAGAATTATCCACTTCATATGTTTTATTCCTTTACAATCAGTAGTTTGTTGTTTGCTGGTTTTGGAATCGTTTTCTGATAATTTCTCTCTATCGTCTGTTGAAGTATATTAGAACTGGTACTTATTATTCTTTGTAGCATTTAGAGACTGGAAGTTTGCATCAGATTTTCATACCAATTCAGCAGCCAGGATTTTTATCTGCTGAGTTTTATTATTAAGAAGCAGGAATTCATCCCCATCACAAATTCGATTTCTTGGTATAAATATATTTGAGCACGTGGTGTTTTTGGGGTCTATGTGCTGGTTTCATTTGTTCAACATGGCTCGAAGCCAATTTCATTAGATGCATTGCTCATGCTTATTACCTGTTGTAATCTTCATATTGCTTCTAATATGTGCTTTAAATAGTATGTTGATTTTCAAATAATATCAGTGCATCTTGCTGCTTTTGTTTGGCATATTCGGAGCCCTTAATGATGAATTATTTGTTTCAATTCTGATCCTCTTGTTTTTGTATATCTCCTAGAAATGATCCAATCTCCTCCCCTGTCCATGCACCAAAGAAACGGAGGAGGAGAGATCTGAATAATGCAATCAGTGAAAATGCAGCTGAGAATTTGCCAAAGAGACATCTGAACGTTGGTGGAGTTCGAATGAAAGCAGCTGCTAGGAATGCACCTTTGGTGGGGAACAAGTTGTCGGTGCCCTCACAAACTGCCAAAACCTCTGTTGGTGGTGAGCTAGGTCATGACATAAAGTCCTCGCAGAACCAATTGATAGCCTGTGTCGAAACTTCCAAGCAGAAGCCTTTGGATTCTTCCATGAAGCAGGAGAATTCGATTTCTACAAAGTTGCCAAATAAGGATATATCCATGGAAGATAAGGATGGTAGTAAGCAAAAGCCTGGACTCCTCCCATCTGGAGAAGGTGCAAGTAAACTAACTGTGAATAAAGAGCATGCACATCCCATTGATCGAGATTTGCTGGATAAAGGGAATCCTGTACAAGTCGAAAGTCAACACAAAAAAGCACTGAAAGATGCAAAGGGACTGTTGCCATCCAGCAAAATTCGGCCGAAAGAGGGAGTTGGGAGCAGTGATATGCGAGACACTCATATTCTGGCAAGCAAGTCTCCATTACAAAAGATGGTATTCTCCATCTTTCTTCTGTCAAATGATGTCTCTTGGTTTATATTTCTTGTCTCCCCTTTAGTGATTGATCTTGACTAGAGGTTCTTAATTAATGTGGCATTATTTGTGTTTTGTGTTTCATTGTGATTATTGCGATAATACCTATCTTCTATACAAGTCAATATGCATGCATTGTGAGTTTGCTTTCCATTTTGATCATTCTTGATATGCTTTTCTATTGGTCCACATGTAAATATTGTAATTAGACTTCTGTTTATAATTGAATATTGTGATGTGATGATGATATCCGTGTTATTTTTTTAAAATTAACTCTTTTGTGCATGGCTGCTAGTCACTTCACATATTAATCTGTTTTTACTTGAGTGATTGGGGTTTCCAATCGCGTGATTGATGCACGTTAGATAATAATGTGTGCTAAAAATTATTTTATGCCATTGCAACTGCGGATAGCTGACCAATCTTGTCCATTCAAAGTAGTTACGAGCTGTATTAAATGAATTCACTCGTGGATCAACATATATACTAGTTTTTCTCTGGAGTTTTAGATTATCTATCTGCACCTGCTTGGATTTCTCCTTTTTTTGTTTCTTTTTCCAGTTCTTCTATCGATAAAGGAAAACTTAACTGTAGGATTGTGTAGCCATGCTTCATTGCTTCTAACTTATGTTTCATGTAGCTTAGGTGCTTGAGTCCCTTGCATTGTTTGAAACCTTTATTCTTCCCCTTATTATGAATGATGTTAAAAGATTTGGTGGTTTGATGAGAACTTGTTTTTGTTTATGATAATTCATGTTTAAGCTGATGCAAATGCTTCGTTGATTACTTGGTATTATGAAGTACGCTGACTATTGAATGCTGTGTTTCCTTCCATGCAGAAGTTGCCATCCTTGGCTTCCAAGGAAGGGGCAGCAGTAAGACCAAAAGGCACAATGCTCGAAAGGGCCATTCGAGAATTAGAAAATAAAGTTGCGGAATGTAAGTGTGACTGCTATTAGACCAAAACTGTTTTTGGAAAAGAAAATTCGTCATTCATTTTGATTCTTATTAAATCAATTTGTGTCTGGAGAAGGAGGTTGTGGACTTTGATTGTCATTTAAATTTGTATTTTGTTGTTTGGCTGAATGGACCTGTCATAGTACGACCTCCAGCTATGGATCTTCAAGAAGTTGATGCTTCAGCACAAGGAATCAAGAGGAGATTGCCTCAAGATATAAAGCAGAAGCTCGCCAAAGTTGCCAGACTTGCGGTACTCGAAATTAGCATGAGTTTACTTGCATAGCTTATCTTTGTATACTTACCCTCCTAATGTTTTGTTGGGTCCTTAAGGAATGTGATTCCTTTTTTTTTTTTTCCTTTGCCCGTTTATTTGTTTATTTATTTTGGACTTTTTTTTTGGTGTGTGCATTTGTGTTGTTTTGGGCCCGGGGAGGGGCGGTGGGGGGAGGGTGGTGTGCTGGGGAATTTGTCTTGGGATGCTTATGTTGTTGTACTATGCGGATTGCAGCAGTCGAGCCAAGGGAGAATATCTGAGGAGTTGATCAATCGCCTGATGAGCATCCTTGGTCATGTAGTCCAAATTAAGACATTGAAGGTAATCTCTCTATAGTCAATTTATATTCATTGAACAAATTTAACTTCTGATGAACGGTTTGTATCATAATAGCTAATTTTACTTCATATTGCAATCAGATCACTGTGCTTGGATTGAACGGACACACTGTTCTAGATAATTCATGCAGAGCGATCTTGAATATTTGCTTGGATTTGTTGTTAAATGGGGAAATGTGTAATAAGAGTGGCTTATTATTTCTGTTATAACCTTATGGATTTTTTTTGGGAAGCCACCCTCATTAATCACCAAAGACCGAAGTACACTGGATTCCTGTTGCAGCAGCATTCTAAACCTGTTATTAGTTGGTGGATTGTCTCAAGAATTTCGAGTAATTGGGATGATCCAATGAGAACTATATGGGGATTTTAATGATTTCTTACTAGTTCTCTGATGGTAACTGAGTAATGATTCTGCAATCATGTTGAAAGCATTTATAGAGTTCAGAGCCCAAGACTCATTCTTCCTTTGTATTGGTCGATTAGTAAATGAGTTTTTTTTTTGATTAATTATTAGTAAATGAAGGTTTTGCCACAAAAAGAAACTAGTTATGAATATCCTACAATGATCTGGCAACATGTTTCTCATCCTGTTTTATTGGTCATGTCAAGTTGAAAAGAATCATATTGCATGGCGTCTTCCATGTTTTGATTAGATATGTAATTAAGGTTGAAAAAGTAGGCACTGCCTATGTGCCCTTTCAAGGCAGGCGCCTAGGCGGCACCTCACAAGCCCTTGGTTGAGGGCCAAAAATGGCCTTCGGCTAAGGGCTTTTTGGGTGTATTTTCCCCCTAAAAGGGGGGAAAGGAATGACAATTAATAGTATATTATTAGTATCATAGTACTGTTACTAACTATAGTACACATATATCATAATATAAATAGTACCATAGTACAAATATATCAATATATTACTAACTATAGTGCACATGTATTATAATATAAATATATTAATAATATCGTGGCAATGTTGTATTGGTGTTCAATTATTTATTTAGATATTATTCACTATGCAGTACCATATTACAGATACATTAATAATGTACATTATATATTATTATTTTTTGAAAGTGATACATTAGTATATTTTTTGTTTTTGTTTTTGAGAGAGTGCAAGTGCATCAATGTCAATATGTCACTAATAGATGTGTCAAGGATGTTCTTAAAAAATAATATATTATTAATGCTACAGTTCAAATATATTGAGAGACTACTAACTATCAATACCAAAGTACAAAGTTATTAATGTATATTATTATATGGTACTATTAACTGCATTACAAATGTATTAAAGTATCATTACATATTATTGACATGTGTGTCATTGCTGTCAATCTGAATATTTTATTGATAAATGGGTCAATGATGTTCCTTTGAAAAATTAATATTACTACTACTATAGTACAAATCAATGTTTGAAAAAAGGATCGGTGGGGTGGATCGTCCACCCTTAATCCCAGTTCGGATTGGTGGTTCGGATCAACTGGATTGGTGGTTCGGATTGTTCTCAAATTGTCTGCATTGGTGATCAAAAAATAAATTAAAAAGTAGAAGAAATAAATAGAAATTAAAATATAGGTTTTTGGGGTGGCAATTTTTTTTTTGGGGGGGGGGGGGGGGGTGGTGGCTGCACAGAAAACATTAGATAAGCTTAAAATAAAAAAATGTAAAAGGTTTTAAGGGGGAATCAGGTTGGGACCCCATACCATTCATAACCAATTCGGTCCCAACCGATTTGGCATCCGGTTTGGCGTCCTGAATCGGAAATCGCCGGGTTTAACACATTGGTAGAAATCAGTGTTTAAAAATTTGGTGATCTAGATCGGAATCGCCTGATCCAAATCAGGAATCGTCCTGACCATTTTAGATCCCAAAATATATCAGGATCCGGCTGTGTTCCCCTTGGAACCGGTCCAGACGTATTAATACCTGTTCTTTGATAGAATCGGCCAATCCTGTCAGACCAAAACTAGTCTGATAGTAGGCCGTCATGTGTTGTTGAGGTTTTTGAAATCTTTTTTGGAACTTGTGCAATTTTTAAAGTATTCTTTAGAAAAAGGTGGCAGCCCCACCAAACTTTATGGGAAGCAGTGCCGGTCACCTACATCATCCCACTTCAACGCTATGTGAGACGTGAGCACAGTTCACCAATTGTGTAACTTCAAATGTTATGTGGTAGTTTGTATAGTGCCTTATGCACCTTTGAATCCCCAATGTGGGATTTTGTTTTTCTTTTGTTCTCACGTTTTGTCAGTTAAGCTAGGTTTGACTTTTTTTCTTAAATGAGCTGTGATGGGCTTGAAAGTTGAAGTAGCTTTATTTACTAATAAAATCACCATAAACTTAACTCCTCTCTCTCTCACTCCGCCCCAACCTTTGCGTTTTTCTCTCCCCTCCCAACCTTGGCATCTCTCTCTCCCCTCCCAACCTTGGCATCTCTCTCTCTCTCTATCCCCTCTCCCCAACCTTGCTGTCCCCTCGTCCCAACCTTGGCGTCTCTCTCTACTAACAACCTCTCTCTCTCTCTTTACAAAGTCTGTTCCATTAATAATTCCACTAAAATTAATTCCACTAAAATTCTCTCTATTAAGTAGTACAAACAAATAATTGTACTAAAACTCTCTTTCTCTCTCTCTCTCTCCCTCTCTACTAACAACCTCTTCCATTAAATTTGTTCTATATAGCTTCTTTCAAAAATCAAAGCTCCTAAGTTAATACAATAATAAAATAAATAAATTGAGTTAGAGAGATTTATTTTATTGTCATGTTGCATTTTAAACTTTGTTTTGATTATAAAATAAATTTGATAAGACAACAAACAATCAACATGAGACAGGTTCTCAGTATTTATATTTTTTTGACACAATAATGAAAAACCATAATGCAATTGCCACTATTTTTTTTAGAAACCTAAAAAACTAGATTTTTGAGAAATTATAGTGTTTTGTTTTTAAAGCATTTTAGGCCGAAACCAGCCGATTCTCTGATCCACCGATCCGATATTGTTTTTGGGGTGGCCGATCCGGGTCACCAATCCATTTTTTTAAACCTTGGTACAAATAGAATAATATACTATTAAATATTAATACTAAACTACAAAGTTACTGATATAATACCAGTAGTACTATTGATTACAGTACAAATGTATTAAGATATTAATATATTACTGCTGATATATGTGTCAATGCTGTCAATACCAGTATATTATTAATAAATGGATTGATTATGTTTCTAATATATAACTGATACTATAGTACAAGTACACTAATATATTATTAACTATCAAATACCAAATTATAAAGTTATTAATATAATATAGTACAATTAACTGCAACACAAAGATCTTAAAATATTGATAAATAGACAATAGGCTTGGCAACTTAAATTAAATGGTCTAATGCTCTATCTCTCTCTCTCACCCTCTCTCTTCATTCCGTATGGTTCGTCTCTCTCTCTCTCTCTCTCTCCTTTCTCTCAACTTATTCCCCTACCCCCATTGTCTAGGGCTGCCTAGGTATTTGGGCGCCCGCCTAGGAGGCCGAATCTGCCTCTTTGAACATTGTATGCCATTGAATATGTCTAGCCAAGTTCTAGTAGCTTGCATCAGACTTCAGGTTGAATTTGCAAACTTCCTGTTGATTTTAAATTAGGAAAATGGCATGCAAATGCAGCTTGGGGTTGGTTAGTTGGCGCACACTGGCGATGCATATTCCATTGAATTTGAACTTCATATCCAAGGTTTTGATGATCTTCGTTGATACTCTCTCAGTAAGATGTTGTGAGGCATGTGTGGCACAAACCTATTGAAAATTGTGAAAAGCTTCTGGGAACTGTCATGTATTCCAAACTGACCTGTGGGTACCTCGTTTATTTCCAATAGTGGCAGTTGTTATGCAAGGCACATTTTAATGATGAAAGTGTCATACATGTTTACATGTAATTTTTAGATTTTAATCTCCATCCAGGTTTTCACATGGATTGGTCAAGTATATTTTATGTTACTTCTTTCTAATGTCTTATGGGTAAGTAGACCATGACTGTGTCTCATATTCATATCAATGGCTGTGTCTTGGATTTTAGGAACTGCAGAGATCTGTCCTCACCTCCCGCATTTGTGTGGTGTGTTTGTACTTGTACTCATATCTGGGCATCTTAGGTTTGAAACCAAACTTAGACATGGGGTTCTTACAGTTTCCTTTACCAACCTGTGTCATAAACCTCTAGATCATGTGTGAAAGGTACTAAGAAAAAATTGGGAGCCAGGAGAAACTAAAAAATAGAAAAATGTGCAAACCTTAGTTCTAGGATCAACATCACGATGGAATTCTTAGAGCCTAAAGGCCTCATAGCAATTTGTAGTGTGATATGTATTTGATTTGAAAGGATGTATAGTGCGTGGCTTGAGGCTCCCCAAGTTGTATAAATTTTGGGTATCTCTTTTCACATTTCCATGGTGCCTCCTCCATTGACATTGAGCAGACCATTTAAAACAAAGAAATGGAAAAATGTGCGACCATAATTTTAGATTTGATGTCATGATGAGTTAAAAGTTTGAGCCTAAAGGATTCTCAGCAATGTATATGGATTGGATTTGGATAGGAAGGAAAACATGTGGTGTGTGGCTCCCCAAGATGGGTTTCACATGAATTTTGGGGATCTCTTTTTTCACTTACATGGTGCCACCACCACTGACTTTGTTTTTTCTAATAAATGAATCAACTCATTTTGAAGTCAAACTGTGACTAGATCTAAATTCTGGAGAAATGAGTGAGGCTATGAGCAATCATCTCATATGTAAACCAGCTTTGATATTCTAAAAACGGTTACACTCTTGAATGGATCAAGGTTACACTCTTGAATGGATCAAGTTTTGGGCAAGTTCATAATGATGAAGATTGGTGACTCACTCGAGTCACTCAGGCTCGGCACCCTTCCAAGGTAGGAGCCAAACCCATGGAACTGAGCAAATCCAGCTGGTTCCCAATATTTTATTATTTTTTATTTGAAGTTGGCTGAGTCTGTCAGACGTTACTGGGGCTTGGGACCCTAGGGAGTCCCAACTTGAGTCCCTTGTTTTTCCATGCTGACAGGAATTTTTGGTTGCACATTGTGACTTCTAGCGACGCTGGCCTGGTTTTCCTGTCATATTCTATCAGAAATTGGGATGATTTGTGTTGTCTTATTACTAAAGCAATAGGCTTTGTAACTTCAGGAATGACGGTGACAAATACCCCTACACATTACAATAGCCAAAGATGCCCTAATGTCGATCCAACAGAAAAAATGATGCCCCTAGACCAAGCAATTCCTGTTAATGATTATGTTGACAAAGTAACAATATAACTGATGGAGTGAGACAATAAAAATGAGAATTTATGAATTCATATGTGCGTGGAGTGCATAGCGTAAGAAGACAACCTTTAAAGGTTGTTAGGAAGACAAAAAATGGAGAAATCATTACAAGGAAAAGTATGCATATGATTGGAGAGAGGTGTAAGCTATCCTTTATTTTGGTATTGAGCAGTATTGCATCTAATAGGAGTGCATAGCATAAGAAGACAACCTTTAAAGGTTGTTACGAGGACAAAAAATGGAGAAATCATTACAAGGATAAGTATGCATATGATTGGAGAGAGGTGTAAGCTATCCTTTATTTTGGTATTGAGCAGTATTGCATCTAATAGGAGATGCATGGGATCCTTTTACATGCGAGTGTATGCTTATTGCCCTTGTTTCATTGTTTGTCCCACTGGACTGAGTGGGGCTTGTATCTTTCTAGGTTAGTGTCAAAATATTATAGAAATATAACTAAAGCTAATGGAAATTGTAATTTTATTTACTTCTCAACTTGCAGGATCCAATGTTATTAGGACCAGGTACCAATTAAAAAACTTTATAGGACTCGACCTATCATTAAGCTGGTGAGAACACCTGTCCAGTCCAAACTAGTAAGATTGGCCAGTTCACCGGTTCGGGCAGTCTGAAAAACAAATGAAAAAACCATAGTACACTGGCTTTGACGAATTCAGACAGGACCTGTTCTGGGCCCTGCTACCAGCTGGTCTGTCAGGACCAGGTTTTTCTTAATAACATTGGTGGGAAGTAGTGCCATTTTGTCCTTACAATCTAAAGTAGGCGGCTCCTTAATAGGATGTGTTGTGTACATAGTTGTTAAGATTGCATTGGTGCATCCACACTGTTGTTATTTTCCTTCTAAACACAACTTGAATGATTGAGACTATACATTCAATCAAAAAAAGAGATTTTATGGTATAAAAGAAAAATTTCCAATGTAGTCAATGTATTATCTATCATTAGTTTTTATTAATCTTGTGCTGTTCATGAATAAATGGTTGAGCCAAGGCTCAAGCTTTAACTTGTTCTTGCTTTGACAGAGACACATGAAAGAGATGGTTGAATTAGGTTTGTCAGCCAAACAAGAAAAAGAAGATAAGCTTCAAAAGATGAAAAATGAAGTGACTGAAATGGTTAAAGAGCAGGTCTCAATTTTGAAGTCCAAGGTGGGTTGCTGAATTCTTTGTTTATTCTTTTTTAACTAAAAGTCATGAGTATTAAATTGTAACCTTTTTTGGAGATCCACCAACGAAAAAGGAAAAAACTTTCTCCATAGGGGATTATAGGTCTTGAGATTGGTTCTAAAATCACAAGGCATCTTAGCCGAAAAAAGGAAAACATGATAGTTTCAGTTCTTCCATTGAGCAATGAAAGTGTGTCGATGGTCAAAACTGGTCTTCAAACAAATTCAGCTCATGCTTGGGTTTCTATTTAAGATTCTAATTGTCATTTATTTGCAGGAAGCAGACATGCATAAATTATCTTCTGATGATTTTCAAGATGCACCCAATTCTGATGAGAAAGGAGCTCTTAAAGGACGATATAAATGGGATAACGCAACTGAGGACCGCCTTTGTGATCTCTATGATCAGTATGTTGAGGTGCTAAAACATGTCTAAGAACACACATCTCATTCCTGGTGATGCAAAATAAAGAAATCTCTCTAGATGTCTAAATGTTTGTGAAATTTTCAGGGGATGGATGAAGACAAGGGCCCTCAGATTAGGAAGCTTTATGTGGAGGTATTATAATCTTGTTACTGCCCTGTTTCCATTTTATGTTCGCCTGTTGTCACTCATTCTGGAATCTACCAGTCCAGATATTAGTCTTCACAAATAAAAAGTAGTGTTGTTTGTTGTGTCACTGCTCAAAGCAGTTATCTTTCATTTACAACAAGGGGTTGTACTTATAGTACAAAGAGACCATTGCCTATCGTACACATGGGTCACAATTACCTCATGCCATCAGATGTAAAATCAGAATGGCTGGGGTATGTAATTTCTATGCACAAAGTATGAGGAAAAATTTCCTGGACTTTAAGCGTAGTCCATTGTACACCCCAATTGCTCAATCTCATCTGACAGCTTGGGGTCATTATGATCTCTCTGTACAACTTGTAAATGCTCTGATTGTATACTTCCCCTTATCATAAGACCTTGTTTCATGATCATTCATGGACTTGCTCTTGGTGGTACTCAATTCATTGTTCCATTGTAACATGCCATCCCTTAATTAGTGAGATGTATTCACATTCTGTTTTAGTATGTTCTATTTTGGTGTTAGTTCTTGAGTCACGTGCTCCTTGTTTTCTCAGTCTGTTGTTCTGTATCATGATGGTGTTTTGTAATCATAAACACTTAGCTTAACATAGTTTAAATGTGATAATACACTATTTTAGGAAATCTGTATCCGCCTTCTTCTCGTTTGGGATATGCTGCCTGAGAGGAAGCACTTGCTAACAAGTTTGTGTCATTGTTTCAGCTTGCAGAATTGTGGCCAGAAGGTTGGATGGACAATAATGGGATAAAATATGCGGTTTGCAGGGCTAAAGAACGAAGGAAACGGCTGTATGGCCATGGAAAGGTACCAGATTCTTGTTTTTATGGTGTTCCAGTATTGTTGATTGAAAAGAACTCAATATTGTTGAGTATATTCAGACATTCAGTGGACTGACTAATCAGACTTCAAAGTAAATGCAAATATCTGTAGATAACTTAGTATATTTAAAATTAAGCAATGCATATTGGAAGCCAAATTTCTAAATCACCTCCTTAGATGATGGAGTTGAAAGATAAGGGACAGACATATGGCCGTCCTCCTCTACTATCATTGACCCATTCCCCTATCAATCTTGCCAAACCCATTCCCCTAATCTTGCCATTCACAACTCTTTAGAAACCACACATTTCGCCAAGAAGCACCAGAAGCAGTTCCAACATGAGCAGTTTGCACACGGACCTCCAACCGCTGAAATCAGAAGGACCTGCCCCCACCCATACCCAAGCAAGCCCTCCAACCACAAGGCATTTCCCTCAATGTAACCCCACTTCACCAGCCATATACTCAAACACCATCTCAAAGCCCATGTCCAACAATCCCAAAGCACCCACCCATCACACCCAATGACACAGCCAATATGCCCAATACCTACCACATATCCCACACACAGTCAACCCGTGTAAACACTATCTGCCTGCACCAGATCCAAAATCTCACATGTAAGCTTTCCCCAAAGCACTACGGCGTTCAAAATTGATACCGTATATGCCATATCTCCTTGCCCTCATCCCATCTGCCTTGGGGGGACTTCTACGACGAAATTGAACTTGACATCAGTAAAGAGATATTGTCCCACTTGAATGCTTCTCTCATCTGATCTATCAATCTTCCCATTCAAGACATCAAAGGCATCACAACATAGTCCAGTGGACTATGCGCCTATCCACAACTGATTTGCCATGCACAAAAGGTGCTCAAAATACCAGCAGCGAGTTACAGGGGTGTTGCCCTCAATCTATGGTGGTGGTCACCATGGATGGGAGCCCCAAAAAACCCAAAACAAAATGGATCAAAGGCATCAGAATTCCTTTGCACACATTATGAAACATTCTAGGAAATTGGGACCTGTGTGGAGGTTTTGTCAAGGTCCAGTGGAACTCTTTTGGGGTTCTACCCCTAGATGTAGTCCAACTACTCCTTGGAACAGCCAAACCCCGTCAAAATCCCCAATAACATCGCGGTACTCATTGTGCCAGCAAGTTTCTTAATCACCATCAATCACCAGGTGGAGTCCCTTTTTTTTGATAAGCGTTAACATTTGTATTGCTATATAAAAGGAGAGTACAAATGTGGGTTAGTCCGACAGTACCCACTAGACGGGACTTTTGGTAAAAACGAACAGGTCAACAGACCCTATACAAAAAATGGGTCAACAGACCCTATACAAAGAATAGGTGGAGTCCCTTATCCCGGAGAATAGCCATAGAGCTCAATACAGCACAATACTAGAGGAAGATGCTCAAGAGTTCCATGATCTAGAAAGTCAAGACCATAAGGGGTGGAAGATTGTGGTCCCCAGAAAAAATTGCTGCAGCAATTTCAGAGAAGAAACAGCATGGGGAACAGGGTTGATGACATGGCAATGAGATGGAAGCCAGTCAAAATTCAAACCACACCAATGCTTGACACTTCCCGCTTCATTGATGATACTTCTGCCCTATCTGGCTCTGGCCAAGTGTGGTCTAATAGATTCTCTTTTAAAAAACGAAAGAAAATCTTTTGGGAAACATCTGGCCGGCCCGGCCATGGCCCTAGGCGTGGGTCAGTCCTTGGGATGTGGTGGCCAGGATCGAGGTCAGCCCTTGGGTCATATTTTGTGGCCCAGAGCCCTAGTTTTTCAGGGTTGGGCCATGGCCCTCTGCTGGCCCTCTGCTGATTTCAAGACCTTCTTCCCCACTGCTCCAAAGTCTCGAAATCTTCCATCCCTGAGCATCAACCCTCAGGCCTCTCTGCTGACAGATTCTCTTATGGAGGAGTCCAGCACTTCTGAAAACGAATCCTTCTACTAATTGACCATGAGGAAATAGAGCGTATGATAGGAATGAAGGGAAGTAGAAGAAATGTTTAAAGAATCATTTGTCCTATGCAAGAGGTCAATACGATGTTTAGACAAAATTCCTGCAAAGTCCCATATGGCAGCTGCAAACTAAACAAGCTTCAATTCCAATATAAACTATGAGAAGTCTGCTTACCAAACCACTTTCAGGCTTGGATCAAAACCCTCCAGCAATAATCCTTGTCCCCGAAGATGTTTCTCTTGGCACTAACAACCCCCCACCTCCAAGAAAACCTCCACAAAATAAAGACTCTTGCATGGAACATATGGGATCTGGACAACCCCAACTGTAGTCACAATCTCCTTCGCCATTGGTGCGTTCTTAGTCTTTGTCATCTTTTCAAGTTCTTCAGACAACTTTAAGTGGATGTTCATTGCGGTCCAAATAGGCCAAACCTAGAGAATCGTTTTAGGCAGAACTAGATCCCTCCCAATGCCTCTATGCTGGCAATGGGTCTGGGCTTTGGGCCGGCCTTGCTGGCCTTAACTTGAGGTCTAGGTGATCTAGGGGTGGCCCAAGCCTGAACCCTGGCCCGGCCCAGGGGTGCCTGGCCCATTCTGGGTTTGGGCCCGGCTGGTCCTGTTGTGGCCTAGGTCCAGGCCTCTACCGACCCTTGGAACCTGGTAACCCAGTCCTCGGGCCACATTTTGTTGCCTATGCCTTGGTTTTTCAGACTGGACTGGGCCCTGTTGCTTAGCCAATTGACAGCCCTACCATCTACCCTCTCCCATGGTGCATCAGTGGGGATTTTAGAACCTGGGGGGTTCCATTACCTCTACTATGACATGTTTATTTGATTTTATGTTCAGGTAAAACATTATTGATATCCCAGTAAATGGTGCCTCCTACACTTGGTCCAGCTGTCCTATTCACACTAAAATAGAGAGATCTCTTATTTCCAATGAGTGGGAGGATAGGTTCCTAGGGGTACCCTCTTGCACCATGTGCAAACCCATCTCAATATGAAACCTGCCCAAGCTGCTCTTAGGCCCTCTAGGTTGGAACTGGCATAGCTAGAAGAAAAGGATCTTTTTTCTTTAATACCTCAGTGGTGGACTAGTTTTGAAGCCCATGGATGGGTGGCTTTCCACTTTGCAAATAGATTGAAATGTCTAAAAGCTAAGCTAGAATAGTGGAACCGCGAGAAATTCTGTCATTTAGACCGTGTCTACTTTACTCAAAGAGATCATGGAGATAGATCCAGTTGAAGAGTCCAGAGTCTTGTCTGTTGACGAGAGAGCAAGAACGGTGCTAAATACTGAAATTCTAAATGGTACTCGAACTGGAGGAACTGTAATGGTCCAGAGGTCTTAAATCATGTGGCTCAAGGAAGGTGATGTAACACAGCTATCTTCCATAAGATGACAAGCTGTAGAAGGAGAAGCAATACCATTCTGCAAATTAAAGATGTAAACCATACCTAGATTCTTGCGAACTTTTTCATTAGTTTCTTCAATGCCAACCTCCCACTAGATCCAGCACGACAAATTTCTGGTTCAAGTCATTGAAGACCTTTGTCATTATAAAACCTCAGGGCCTGATGGCTCTTTGATGATTCTCAACTACCACTTTTGGGATTGCGTTTGCCTGGAATTCATGGCCATGTTCACTGAGTTTTATCAAAGAGGTACCAACCACAAGGGGCTAAAATTGACATTCGTTGCCCTTATTCCAATTTTTTGAAGGGCTAATGAACTGAAGAATTTCTCCCTTATTCCAAATTTTTGAGCTGCCAACCCAGATCAGGCGGGGGCTTGGGGATCCATAGCCTTCACAAGCATAACCTTACCCTGTTCGGCAAGTGGTGGTGGAGGCTTGCGAACTTTTGGGGTCAACTTTGGCACCACGTCCTAAGTCACAAATATTGCCTTCTTTCCTGTCCCTGGTTCCTTCCTGATAGGCCTTCCCATGCCTCATCGGGTTTTTGGAAATCCCTGCACCGTAGCCTCCACCTCTTAAATCTTTCATCCACTTCCACCCCAGGGAAGGAACGAGAATCAAGTTCTGGACCGACCTTTGGTTAGGTCATCTCCCTCTTTCGCTATGTTTCCCCAATCTCTTTAGCTTGGCTAGGGACTCTAGTGCCTTCATTGCAGATCTATTCGGGCCAGTTGGGAACACCAGATCGTGGAGTCCTGACTTTCGTGGGGCTCTTCACGACGAAGAGATCCCGGTCTTCCTCAAACCCTCCTCCTTTCTCCATTCCTCCTCTCTCTTCTTTCAGTGAGGATAAATCATATGGATCCCCGCTTCTTCTGGGATCTTCTCAATATCCTCCTCCTTTCACCGCCTTATCTCACCCCTTACTATACTGCCCACACGACAGTATTGCCAAAGCTTGGATCAAATTTATTCCTCCTAGATTGCAGATCTTTAATTGGGTTGGGCTCTGGGAAAGAGTCCTTACCATGGACCAACTGCAAAGAAAAGGCCTGCAAATCCCTAATAGATGTGCATTTGCAAATTCCCACTTATTCATCCACTGCACATTTGCAAGCTAGCTCTGGGAGCACTTGCTTCAACTATTTGGCTGGTCGTGGATCACACCGAAATCAGTTCCTCAGCTTTTCCAGTAATTACTATTCCTAACATGGCCCAAATCAGGTGCTATGCTTTGGAAGGCAGCTGTGGCGGTCACTCTCTGGTCGATCTGGAAGGAATGCAACAATAGAATCTTTCGGGGACAGCTGTCTCACCGTAAAAAAGTATTGGAATCTATCCATTTCCTGGTGATCTTCTGGGCCACCAACTACAACCACTTCAAGCTTCTTTCAACCTCTGGCTTTCACCTCAATTGGACCATGATCCTCCATCACATGCCTAGGCAGGTGACCATTCTTAGGGGTGGCAACGGGTTGAAAATATACTGTGGCACCCGGAACCGATTGGACCCGACCCAAAAATTAAAATATTATGTATTTAACTGAATTTTTCATATTTTGGGACCCAAAAAATATTTCCGGACCCGGACCTGAATAGTGTTCCGGATCCAAGATTTGGACTCGGACCTGACCTGCTGGGTCCAATTTTTGGACCCATACTTGGACCCAAGTTGGGTCTACCCCTCGGATCCCAGGTCCATTGCCACCCCTACCCGTTCTTCCCTCTGGAGACCCCCGGACCTGGGCCACTCCAAATGTGATAGTTGCTGAAATCTTCAATGCCTCTAGTACCAATATCTACAATTGCCACACCCTCTTGGACTTCGTGCCTCTCTGAGAGGACGAACCATCTCCCATATCTAATATGTAAACGACTCCCTTGTCTGCGATGCCTGTCCAGCCGAAGTAAAGTGCTACTAGTTTTTCATCAGATTCTTGGAGCTCTCCATGGACTCAAAGGTTAGCATGGCCAAGAATAAAAACTCCTTTGGAGTTGGTATACCCCCAAACCACACCCTGAACTTTGCCAGAAGGTTTGGTGTGGTGTAAATTCGCTCCCCACCAAGTAGTTGGTTCTCATCTTGCACTGTGTGGAGAGGGCTAGAAAGGCCCTCTGGGATGGAGTCATCGAGAAAGTTGAGAGAAGATTGGTAGCCTCGTAATGCAGGCTACTGTCCTTTGGGGACCTTGTCATATTGGTTAAGGCTCAAGGCTACTTTGACATGTATTCATGTGTTCCAAATGTATTTTTTGGATGCCCGCCCATGTGGAATGTAAGTTAAGGGCAGCATACAAGAGAATATGGCTCGGCCACCACAAATTCCATATGGTAAGATGGGATACTGTTTGCCTACACAAAAGAGATGGGGGTTTGGGGATTCGAATGTTAAGAGACTACAGCACGGCACTATTTCTTCTAGTGGCTGCCTAAGATGCTCTGGTCTCTGATTGCTACGAGTTTCTAGGAGGTCACAGATTATGGTCCACAACTTTCAGTAGAAATCTTAATGGCCAAGCGATGGTAGACCTCGCTTCCTTGCTGCCTTGGGCCAGCACTTTCTCCCAGGCTCAGGTAGTAACAAACTATTCTGGGAACCCTCCTCCTTGGGCTGGTCTCAGTAAATCTTTCTAGAGGCACCTAAACTCATCAGGTCCTAGACTGGCTATCTCTTTGAGTCGTCCTTGTTCACACCTACTTCTCCCAAGTTGTAGTCTTTTTACTGGCTGTTGACATCAAACAAAGTCTTGACCCAGGACAAACTAAAAACAAAAGGGATCCCCTGCCACATAGATGCCCTATGTGCAAGGAACTAGAGGAAAATATTAACGACCTATTCTTGCATTATAGTGTGGCTCACCAAATTTGGGATGGGTCCTAATACTATTCGACTGGTCCTGGGCAACTCCAAATTCGACCACATAGTTATTCCAAATTCCCCCCCTTCCTCTCTGCTGTTCTTTTTTTGTGGCGAGCCTTAGTATATGGCACAGCTTGGAGCATTTGGCTAGAGAGAAAGGGTAGGCTGTTTGATGAGAGGTGCATCAAGTCCATCTTGGACTGCATCAAAGCCTTGGTTTCTGGGCAAGATCTTGGACAATGCACACTGTCGGATCTTAAGCAATGCTGGAGAGACGTTGTATGGTCTAGATCCCCCACAAAATCACAAGGTTTGGATTCTACTAGAGGTAAATTTCTTTGACGGCAACTCTCTTGGCAACCTCTGTGCCAGGAAGAGATAAATTCTCAGGAACCTTGGAAGTGAGACTCTCTGTTCACGTTCTCAGGACATTTAGGCATTGAGTTGCCACTTGGGCAGGGGCACTAGCACCACCAACTGGGTTCGAAGTCTTTGATACCAATTGGAGTTCCTCCCTTTTACTTAAAAATTAAGGAGACTCCCAGAATATTAGTGAGCCAAGAACCAAACTCAATGCCCTTTGGAGATTGTACAGACCTTTGATGAGATCTCCAAGCTCTGTCAAAGCCTCCACATCAACTTCAAACATGCATGGAGGCCAATGCCGCTGCTGACACCCTTGCCAAAGTAAGGGCCTCAATCGGACCCCTCACTGTGGACACCCTTGCCGTAAGCAGGCTGTCAGACCTACTAACATCATGTAACCTTCAATCCATATAATGTTTTTTGCCTCCAATACACGAACAAGCTGTAGGTTTTGACCCAAGTCACTACAATTTTACTTCGTCCCCAAAAATAAAATTAAAAAAAGCCCCAAAAATAGAATTAAAGAAAGAAAAGGAAAAATAAATAGAGGAGAAGGGGAACTATTCTAGAATCCTAGAAATGCTTTATTGATATTCCGTTAGGGTTATCACTGTCCAATGGAATGGTGGACATTGGTAGAGAGAGTGCAACCGCGAGAAATGACTCCAATGGTGCATTCCTCTCTCTCTCTCTCTCACACACACACACACAACTTTCATTACTTCGTTGGACCATGATTCCAAGGGGCTTTGGTTTTGTATATTCTATTGAATAGTTCACATTCTTTAATGGACAACTTGCTATGGATTATCATTTTTCTTTTGTTCTTGCAAGTTAATAAACTTGAAATTATTTCTGTAATTTTTCTGATGACTGTGATTCGTGGGGTATATACATATAGATGTATATTGAGATGTTTTGAGCTCTTTAAAGTGGCAAACAAAATCTTTTAGTGGTTAAATGTATAGCAAAATTGGAGGCCTCTGTTCGGCTTCCAACTGGGCATGTCAATGTTTGTTCCTAACTGAAGAACTGGTGGCCCTCTCTATTGATTTTTCTTTAAAAAAAGAAGAAAAGACAGATGCCTCTGTTGATCATGTCCTTGCACCGTAGTTATCTTTCTATACAAAATCTTGTGTATTGAAGCCTTGAATCAAGTGGGAGCATGTTTTTTGCCCTTGATCAGGATGGCGAGAAGTTGAGGCGGAAGAAGATATCATCAGCTGCAGTTAGAGTAGAAGAGAATCTGGGTGCTGCTGCCACCAATTCTCAAGCACGGTCCTTACAAGAACGGCCACCTTCCAATCAACAACAGCCATACACATCCCATGGCCACCTCATCATCCATAATACATTATCATCATCATCCCCCAGAAACCATGCCTTGGGGGCCCTGCCCAACAGGACTTCTGACTCATTTATTTCAAATGAAGCTACTGGGGCAATATTAGAAAAGGTGAGGAGAACTACAATAGATCATGAAAGTGGTCTTGTTAGCAAGAAGTTGAAGAGAAAATCAATGGAGGCCTCGGGTTCCCCAATGTATCCATCAAAACTCCAGTCACTCGATGGCAAGCAAAGCTCTTCGCTACACCACCACAAGTTGAACAAGCACCACTCAAGCTTGGTTCAGCACCATCACAAGGCAAACTCCACGGTTAGTGCCGCGTGCCTTCCTCCTGCTTCCAGTTATGAGCTACTTAAGAACAGTTGAGAGGTATGTCAACAAGTGTCATCCATTTGTAGATGCCGCTTTGCCTTTTCTATGTTTTATTATTGGGGGGGGGGAAAGGGGGGAGGAGGAGGAGGAGGCTGCTCTTTTTGCTATTTTCATTGGAAAAATCGAAATGTAAAATTGCTCCATTGTTTTATGTTGACCAAAAAAAAAAAAAAGTACAGAAAGAGAGAGCTCGATTGTTTTAGCGTCCTTATTTTTTTGAGTAGTTCAATAGGGATATAGGTCCCTGCACTTTTTTGAAATCTTTAGTGGTTTTCGTTGGTGTTAGGAGAAAATGAAAGCCTAGACCTTAGTTAGGGTTCATCTAGTGTTATGACCATGACCCTAACCTACATTTTAGCATCATTTAATTATAGATAGAATTTCTAAGAATCAAGGAAGGGGAATTGGAATTCGTATGCCCCCCCCCCCCCAAAGCAGGGATTATGCCACATTTCCATTATCTTAGTGGGGGAGTGCCGTTTTTTTTTTTGGAATGTTCTCTTGTATCATTTGAAATAAAGTTGTACAAAAAATAAAGTGTAGCTAAGGATATTGAGATGGATGAGTAGCAAGACAAGATGGGATAAAATTCAATTTGGGACAATTTAGGTGTGGCATCAAAAGCGACAAAATGAGAGAGTAGATTTAGGTGGGTTGGCCATGTGTGGCACCGACCAAGTGGGGTTGAAAATTTTTCAGATTGGGTTCGAATCCAAATAATATACACGATCCGGATGTGGATTTGGATCCGATCGGATGTGAAATGCGTGGATATGAATCCGGATCTGAATTTACCCGTGGGACCCGATCCGAATTAGTTAAGAGAGAGGGTCACCTCTTCAAATAAGACTTCGCTGTCTCAGAGAAAAGTGAACCTTCGAAAGAAATGCAGAAACTGCTTCTAAGCATGCACAATACTGTTTCTTATTCATTTTATTTTCGGAGCATGAAAATACTCTAGAACCACACCATCCATTATATTTTCCAATCATGAAAGGAAAAAGTTTATCTAAGGTTTTATATTTTCCAATCATGAAAGGAAAAAGTTTATCTAAGGATGCAACCTTATAATGTAGAACTACGGATGCACTTCAAAAATCCATCAGAAAAGGTAGTTTTAATGTTGAAAAACCCTTTGATCATCTCGACATCGAGATGTATGATCATGAAAAATAACAAGATTTTAAGTATCAGAAATAGTGCTTTTTACAACATATTATCTACACCTTCCATTTTCAAAATTTTTATATGTTTATAGATGTATTTGATTTTAACCATTTTTAAAATTTAAAATTTTATAATTAGATATAAAAATAGATCTTGAGATAGTCTTAAGAGCATTTTACATCAAAATTATATACCATGATAAAATTTGAAGGTGCACGTTACCTCTACACCTACGGATGAGCCGACTGCACCCATCATGAAAATACATACTTTATCTAGATCCACACCATCAAAAGGTAAAATACAGGCAGAGAGAGAGAGAGAGAGAGAGAGGGAGGCTAGAGAGAGCCGATTTTGTCCAAAGGAATAAATATCATGGCGATGCCCATGTTTGTGTATATACATAAACATCATGGGGATGCCCATGTTTACGTCCGATATAGTAGTGTCAGACATTTGTCAGACTTAAGCAGTGGGATAGACTCCTTCAAATGGAAAGATAGGGCCAGTACAAGCTGTGTTTGTGGCACCCATCCCGACTTGCTTTAATGGACACATTCTCCTCTCTCTCTCTCTCTTATATCACGTTCTTGAGAACCGTGGCCATCGATTCCACCCTTTGAATGTTCAGCTTCTCTGCTATGAAAGCATCGATGGTGAGTATAGATGGGTTTCAGTGTAGAGAGAGATGAGAGATGGGTCAATGGAGAGAGATGGGCTTACATGCAGAGATAATACATAGAGAAACCCTACTTTTTCTATTTGAGAGAGAACGAGATACAAATGAGGAAAGATTTAACTTTCCCCAAATCGAACGGTGGGAATTAGTTTTAGAAAGTTAAAATGACTGCGGATGAAGTTTTAAAAGTTCTTA